GACCATGAGTAAAAGCAGTGCTGCTATCATGCTTCATAGATCTAATAGCAATATACGTTGGGCCAGAATATGACACTGCGTCAGCAAATTTGTTTAAACAGACGGTATAAGCTTATGTCTGGAAGCGACTAAAAAATCATGATCTGGCAAACGTACTTGATAATCAAGATGCATCAAAATTGGTGATTGTTTTGTTGCAGCTGCTAATCCTAATGGTACTTTAGCTTTGTCATCTAGACTTAAATAAAAGCATGAATCTGGACCAAATATTGAACAAACTTCATCCATGTATTGCATGCACGCAAATGTAAATCCAGCATCGATATGCCAATCATGAGCTGTATTAGCAGTCCTGATCAATTTCACAGGAACTGTCTTAATGTGACATATTCCCTCAAGTGTGTTTGATCGCTTAGGCATCAGTCTTAAATAAGTTGCAGATCGCGATAAACAATAACCCAGTTTTAGTAGGCTTTTATTTAAGTCATCAAGTGTCTTACATAAACGTAACTCTTGCGATCTTTGTCAATCGCTAGCAGCGGCTCCTATTGATGCGATGTTAACAATGGCATTAAGAAGATCTGGCTGATCTTCAATTACAGCTGATCTACCATTTTTTTCTCTATTGAATTTAGAAAGTTTTGATTTTAAGTAGGGTGTGTCATTGACAATATCATTAAGTGTTTTATTTTAAGTTCGTCAGTTATCAATCCTGCACGGCGCACATTTACCAATGTTAACAGCTGCTCTTTTAACTGCGAAATTTCAGTTTGAATTTTCTCTTGTTGTGGAGTATGAGATTTTGTCGGCTGATCAATTGGTACTTCCGTTTGTGATTTTTGACTTTTTTGAATATCAAATTTAGAAGAAGTAGCTAGTGTTTTATTGATTTCAAAATCTATTTTGTCTGCTTCATCGGATGTTAACAAAGCTTCTGGTCCCTCATCTGATATTTCGTTTGTGAGAGGAAGCTTCACTGCAATAGATTGATTATTTGATGTTTTAACATTAGACCAAAAAGACATCAACTGACTTTTACTTTCCATTGTTTTTCGTGTAAGTTCTTTTAAAACTGAATCATACGTCAATTCTTTATGCTTAACTTTATATCACAATTTATTAGCTTCTTTCTGTTGCTCCTGTTTACTTTTTTGTGGCAAAGCTTTTGCTACTTGTTGGTAAATAATTTTGTTCTTTTCACTATTATTCATTTTAATAATTCCGCCTACAAACTAATTTTTAACTGATTATTTAAAGCACAACTTAAATTTACAAGCTACAATAAATGCAAACGGGGGTTGTTTGTTTAGTTTTTAAATAATTTATAGTATCTTATTTTTATTATAAAATATTTTTTACAAAATAAAGTTTAAAAAATTATAAAAAATACTATTTACATAACAATTTCAAAAATTAATATTTAAAGTTTAACAATACTTTAAAACTTTAGCTTTTAAACTTGTTACCCTTAGTAAAACTGTTGTAGCGCTAATTAATTAAAAATTGAAATATGAAGAAATTCTGAAATTCTTTTTATACTTCATATTGTTTTTGAAAAGTATTGAGCAATTGATTTAATGAAATGGAACGTTTTGAAATATAAAGAATATCACCACTTTTTGATGACTTCTTAATTTTACTCATGCCCGGCGTACTTCATTGACGATCCCTTATATTTAAATTTCTTTAATAATGTTTTTTTTTTATAAATTTTATCTTTTTAACTCATAAAGAGAAAAGAGAAGATGGGGGGGGGGGTACTTCAAAAGCGTATGTACTTTTCAAAGGGGGGAGAGGACTAAAAAGTACGCATGGCAACTGGGGGAGGGGTCAATTTTTTGAAATTTTTGGCGTCCGTACTTTATGGATGACCCCTTAGATACTATATAATTAGGAGTGCCAATAGTTGATTTATCTATTCTCATAGGTTAGATTTGTGAATTTTCAGGTTTGTGAGCTTTAATTACACCATACAAAGGAGGCAGGATGGAATCATACTCTGTTTTTGAAAATTGCTGTTTTTTATTAAGTTGTGAGAGGTAGGTTTTAATTTTAATTGTATAACTAGAAATGCGATCTTCACTTAAAACTCTTATTAGGCTAATTTGTTCACAAATTTTTTATAAAGCTTTATTGCGTTCTATTCTTACAAAAACCATTACTTTTATCAAATGGATATATATTGATAAATTTGTTTTCCTTAAACATAATTTTGATTCAATTTAAAAGTACGTACTTCGATTTTTTAATTTTACACAATTAACTGGCTAGTCAATAGAAAAGTTAAAATTCTGACTAAAGATCCTAGTTTGCCAACATAAAAAGATGTATTGTATAGGGAGTAGAAGGTATAGTTTCTCCTTATGCACACAAATTGTTATGACAGTAGTCTAGGAACAAAAAAGCCTTCAAATGCATGCAACCCCTCCTCTGCCCAAACGTGAAGACACTAATGTAGTAAAATTTTCTGACCCCCTCCCACCAAAAAAATAAATAAATGAGGTGCTGTACATTTTGCATCAACATAACTTTTGTAATTTACAATATTTTTCAACGAAATTTAAATTCTGTCGATAAATTTGAATTTAGTTTTAGATCATTAAGTTAAAAATTTTACTACATAAATGCCCTCACGTTTGAGCAGGGGGCAAAATTTAAGGACTATTTGTTGACAGGTCTCGCCATCCCAATTTTTTACAAGGTCTCCTCATTTGGTATCCAATGAGGAGACCTTGTAAAAAATCCAGTTCCAGTGTCCAATCTGGAACATCAAAAAATCCTGCAGGCGCTCATGCCACCCCTTATATACTGGCCCTGAGTATACTCAGGGCCAGAATATAAGGGGTGACATGTGTGCATGTATGTGCAAAAAATAGGTTGCCTATTTATTGAGTCAACAAAAACAGGTTTTAACAGTGCAATGGTTAATAGGTCTGAGACCCCCCCTCCCCTCAAAAAATAACAACATGTCATTAGGGTCTCAAAATCTTCCAAATTTTACTATTAGGTTTTGCTAAAACAAAATAGCAAAAAGGCATAAAATTTGTTGCTCCCCCACAACACCCCACCCCCTCTAATTACAGGGTATGGGTAGCCTACTCTCGGCACTGGGTTTTAAGCTTTGTTTTTAATATTACTCTTCTCGCATGACTCGCTTTTTACTGACTTATTAAAGAGGGGTGCCTGAAAAAAACATCTACCTTAAGTATAGTTTATTTTTATCTGATGCGTTTCATTAAACAATAAAAGTAAAATAGGACTTTACTGGGAATCGAATTTGGGTCTCCGCTGTCACTGCTTATAACATTATCCACTCGGCCAAGCAAACTCTTTGATATTGCAAGATTTAATTTTATTTAAATTTATATTTGTATATATTTGATGTTGTTTTTTAAATTGGGATCCTTTGCCGCTAGCAAAGGGCTTTGGGGTCAGATAAATACTTTATCCATTTTTCACCCCCCACCTATTTTTTTTTTTTTAATATAAAAATTTATTGAAATAAAAAAAGTGGAGGAGGTACCCTAGAAACTTTTAAAGTATCTAGGGTATCTCCTCCACCTTTTTTTTTTTTCAATGCGGGGGATGAAGGGGGAGGGGAGAGGCGGGGGATATAAAAAATGTACGTTACCTTTTAAGGGGGGTGGGGACTTAAAAGTACGCATGGCAACAGGGGGAGGAGGGGTGTCATATTTCTACTTCATGGATGACTTCTTAATGTTTTAGTTACTACTTACAAAAACAATAGTTTTAAGCACTTTGCATTTCTTATTGTTTAATGATGCGTGTTAAAAACTTTATTATTATCAAATTTTAATTAATTGTCAATGTTATGCTATTCAAATGTTATTCAAAAAAATGTGCGGTTGCTACAAAAAGATTTTTGTTTGGCTGTAGCGAACAATTTAATGCGATTCCTTATTTTTATATTTATATTATAACTATTTCGTGTATATTTTAGTACAAATATTTGTTTTAACTTTAATTTAGTTTGATTTAAACGGTTATTAGTAAAATAAGTCGTTTAATATTTATTTTCTACTTGGTTCAGTTTATATATTTTATTCAAGTATTAATTTATTTAAAGAGTTTTAAACATTTAAAATTATCTTTCTTTTGATTTCATAAACATTATTTTGTAAGCTTTTTCAGTAATTTGTTCAACTTTTTTATAGTCTATTTCATAAAGAGTAACTTTAAGAACTTGCTGGATATTTTTATTTTCATTAGTAAGCATAAAATAAGGTTTTTTAGCATTGTTTTTAATACAAACTAAAATTTCAAATCTAAATTGAATATCAACACTTGCTGCTGCTCTCTTTATATTTACAGAACTCTTAATAACGTTCAACTGTTTTTAATCTTTAAAAAAACTATTTTTAACAGTTAACTGTATTTAATGTTAAAAAATTTGTGTATAATTTTTATGAGCTGATGATGCTGTTAATCACAACCAAGCAAAAATTGGTCAACACTCTGATACCATACTGGAATAGGGAATTACTGAGGGGCTCATTACATTTTTTCATTATTCTTAATTTTTTACTTCAACAAATGTATATTTATATATGCTTTAATAAGGCAACAAATGTATATTTATATATGCTTTAATATATATATATATATATATATATATATATATATATATATATATATATATATATATATATATATATATATACACACACACACACACATATATATATATTATATGCATATCTATACATGCTTTAATATATATATATACACACACACACACACACACACACACACACACATATATATATATTAAAGCATATATATATATATATATATATATATATATATATATATTATATGCATATCTGTATATGCTTTATTATATATATATATATATATATATATATATATATATATATATATATATATATATATATATATATATATATATATATATATATATATATATATATATATATATATATATATATATATATGGTTATACAATAGAAAAATGTTACCAAATCCTCTTGGTTCTGAGTTTCCATTATGATAGTTTGTCTCATCACTTTCTGTTCCCCAGTTACTAAAATAAATAGAAAAAACTAGCTTAAACATGGGATCAACATGACCTGATATATTGCATTTAAAAATTAAAAATCTAGGAGGGTAGTTTTTTTGGTCAATCCTTGTAAAAATATTTTAGGACAAAGATGATCATCTTTTTAGCTATCTTGCTTGATAACTTTTAAAAAACTTTATTAAAGGTTTCTTTAAAGTAAAAGATTTTTTATTTAAAATACTTCATAAGTCTCTTGATTAGGTTTTACAATAATGTTTTATTAAAATTTGTTATGATTTTGATGCAGTTTCTATATTTGATTATTGATGACATGGTCTCAATCCAGTGCCATTTTGTTTTATTTGATAATTCTGTGTCTCCTTTATCAATTATGTATACCACAATTGTTTGATTTGTCTGCTTAATTGTATATTTTGATTTTTCGTCATGATGTTTTAGAAATTTATACTTATAATTGATGAGTATTATGTTGAATTTCTTGTTTTCAGAAACAGCTCGACCAGGATTATTTCTCAGCCAAGATGTCACTTTTGTATCAAATACAAATTGCCAATAATGCAAATTCAAACTGTTAAAGAATAAAATGTCAAATGGCTGTAACTTGTGTGATGAAAACACTAGCAGAATCACATTATTAGGCTTTGCTTTCTCCAGAATGGCTAAATTTCGAGTATGGCTAGCATGTCCATCTGTAAGCAAAAAAACTGGACTTGATTTTAATTTTGGTTGAACAATCTCAAGAAAATGATCAAATCAATTCATGAAAACTTGTTCATTGGCCCATCCTGACTTTATAGCATTACCAACAGAACCTGGTGGAGCATTGTACATGAGAGAAGCTTACATGTTGACTCTTGGGAAAATAAGTAAGGGCGGCACATAGTGACCAGTGACCTGATATATAACAGTGATATATAACAGTGATATATAACCTGATATATAACAGTGACCTGATATATTACAGTGACCTGATATATAACAGTGACCTGATATATTACAGTGACCTGATATATAACAGTGACCTGATATATAACAAATGATAGTTATATTTTTGCCTCACTCTGCACTTTTAAGACAACCAATACTATGTTTACCTTCTTTGGACACAATTTTTACAGCTTTCTGTCAAATGGTTTTCCCTGTTTCATCAATGTTGTATATATTTTCTGGTAGAATTTTTCTTATGGTGTTGGCAAATAAAAACTCCTCCTTTTCTACTATAGAAACAAACAACTTTTACTTTATTAAATCCAATTTCTTGTTGAATTGAAACGCCCTCTGATAGACGTACGTGACGGTTCACTGTGACGTTTCATGAAAACTTCAAGCCACTTTTCTTCTGCACATTTATTTGAATGGCTAAACCTGTGTTGTTATTTATTTTGTTCACAAAATTGCTAAACTAAATATCTAATATCCAAGAAATTAAACCATAAAATTTTGATTTTATTTCCAAGATAATATGATAAAGTTCATCTTCTTGATCACTAATCAGAACTGTGCTGCGTACCAACTGCGTATCAAATAATGTAGCAAAGAAGATTTGTTTAGTAGGTTTTGCTGCTTGTTTTTTAAATAAACCATGAACTACAACATCATATACCGCATGTTGTAGTACTTGCAGGTTAAATTTAACCTTAGCATGACTCATCTTTAGAAATGTCAAATACCTTTTTTATAGAGCATGTATAAAATTTTCATGAACATAAAAAAAATTTCTTAAAAATACAGCTAATAAGCAAAATTCTTAGCATGAAATAACATGTTGTTTAAGGAAAAGCAATAATAATTAAAAATTAAATCTATAAAATGTCTTCCTAATATGAACCCAAGTCCACATGACACTCCACATTAGGCAAATTGTATTGCTATTCTATTAAGAATACAAAATAATGCTTTGATTTAACATGAATTATCACTCACTTTATATCATTTCAAAAACAGCTCTTTCTAGAAAAAAAAAGTTTGTTGCTTTTAAGAGAAAAACTTGATAATGCTGGTAAATAGACAACTATGCAAAAAAAAACTTCTCTACTTAACTAAAAATTATTTCTTGCACAAATAATATTGTTAGAATTTTTTAGCACCAATAAAGCAAAAAAAAAAAAAGCTACCGGTAAAATAAAACTAATTTTGAAAAAATATCTAAAACTGAAGCCAAAATATAATTGGGGTCCACAATAGTCTACCCTATATCTATCTATCTATCTATCTATCTATCTATCTATCTATCTATCTATCTATCTATCTATATATATATATATATATATATATATATATATATATATATATATATATATATATATATATATATATATATATATATACACACATATGCACACACACAACCTAAAATTAAAACTCAAACACACATATGCATACATACATACAACATACATATCTATATATACATTCCAACCACAGACTATCTATTTAAGGAAAATATCTAACAAAGGATGAGTTCAAACAAAGATAGTTTATCTATAAAAAACAAAAAGCATGCAAAACATATAACAGGCTGTATGTGTATATGGGTGTATAGTTGTAACTTATGTCTATGTTACTTATGTCATTTGGTAGAGTCTTGTGTTGTTAGTGACCAGCGTAAAAGATTTACCTCTAAACCACATCAAGTCAGCCCATTCATACTCCAGAAAACCATGATGGATTTAACACCTATGCAAGGATTTATAACTGACTTTTGATTCTAAAAACTAGCCCAGGTGTATTCCAGAGACAAACATTTTCTTCCGAGACAGCAATCATGTTTTGAAAATTGTCGTGCTCAATGACTGTAACACTAACCCTTACAGGCTAAGCCCAACATTATTTAAAAACTTTGGTATATAACTATTCTGCTGTTCTGAATTAATGATTTTTTATTAGGCTGGCGTAGTTGTAAACCTGGGTTACATTGTTTCCTGCCTGGCCTATAATGTATCTTTTTGACTCTACTCATAGATTTTTGCTTGTACCTTCCTTATAGTAGCTTTACAACTCTCTGTTATCTCCTAATTAGGGTATAACTTTAAAACTCAGTTTAATGGTTCTGAGGCCGGCTTGTAGTAAGGTTTTGCAAATGCTGTGGTAACTCTCAGAGAAGCTGATTCCATCAGCTGTATAATATCAGACCTCAATACATCAATAGCTACATCAATAGCTGTACAATAGCATCAATAGCATGTACAATTCATCAATAGCATCAATAGCATGTACAATAGCATCAATAGCAATACATTAATAGCTCATCAATAGCTGTATAATATCATTAACAGTGCCATGTTGCACACAGATGGTGTCCCTGTTAATGCTTTTGATTGATATTGTGAAGGCCGCATAATGAGCCCTAAGTTACAACTTTGGGATAATTAGCAGGACTGAGAAAACTGCATAGCTAATTGCATGGGATGCCATGCTCTATCTATGAATGAGTTAAGTTCTCTTTAAAATTAAACCTTGCCCAAAGTATCCTAAAATATTAAATATATAAAAGCATCAACACCAACTAACTGTTTCAATATATCTTTCACAAATATTCATGGTCTTTGAAGTAACTTTCCATAAGATAAATCTTATCTATCACAAAAAATCATCAGAACTGCTTGTTCTTCGAGAGACAAACTTAAAGTTGGTTGCTCTTTCTTCAGATCTCAGTATTGATGGGTACTATCCTTTGATTTGCAAAAATTCCAATAGTCGCATGCTTGGCTTGGGCATATACCTACCTATCCATTCATTTATTTGTCAAGAAACTAGGTTTGACTCCTCTGACCATTTTAAGTGCATCCACTTAAAATGGTGAGAGGAGTCAGACCATTTTAAGTGGATGCACTTAAAATGGTCTGACTCCTCTGACCATTTTTAAGTGGATGCACTTAAAATGGTCAGAGGAGTCAAACCTAGTTTCTTGACAAATAAATAGCACCTCTTCACTCTTTCACCTTTCTCTTTGTTCTTTATCTTTGTTCTCTTTTTGAAGACTGCACTCTTTTAGATATAGTTTCTGATCAAGATGACCATGTCCTTTCTCTTTAGTTTTCTGCCAATACTGTTGTTATTGAAGACTTTAATGCTTATCACACTGAATGACTTGATTTTAACACCACTGACCCTGCTGGCATTAAAGTCCAAATATAAATGTATTACAAATATTATTAGTTTCATACTAGTAGTATGATAAAGTATATTACTATGAATAACATACGTAATTGCTCAATATTGCCACTTCTGTAGAAGGCAGATTATAATTAAAAACCAAATAGAAAAGACTGATCATAAAAGGATGATTTCAACTCAGTACAATTGATCATGAATGGTCTATAAAATAATCTACAAAGAAACATAAATTATAAATATTTAAACAATCACTGCAATATGAAACATCTAGTTTTTTAGTGAAACATGTAATTTTTAAACATCCAGAAATGGCATTATCAGAATCTGTCAGCTCTAGCTCTAGTGAGATAACTAACATATACTTTTCTAGTGAGATAACTAACATATAAATTAAAATTTGGTTCATTGTTATACTTCTTTTGATTTATTTAAAACATACAAAAAATAGATACAGTTTATCATTTTTTTAAAAATGATAAACTATTGCTGCTAATTTAAAAAATAGAAACTCAAGTTTATATAAAAATGGAATAATAACTCAAGTTTATATAATTATGGAATGTTTATATAATTATGGAACATTTAAATTAATTTAATTATGGAATATATTAAATTCAGTCAATTAGTTGAATTTTGTGATTTTTTTATTATAACTTTTATTTCATTATTTAAGCATTTAAAAAAAAAAAAATTATAACTTATAAATAGATATGAGAGCCTGAAAGAAAACCACCAGGAATTTACAATCTTTAGAAATTTCCAAACTTTGTTGATAACTTGATTAGATATGATTATGATATGATTTTTGATAAGTTTGAAAAACAATTAAAAGTTCAATTGGAGCTGCACTAAGAAATGCTATTATGCTTGATGTACCAGGACTGTTT